AACCTTAATGATTCTATGATTCTATAATGGAAGACATTTTATCTTAAGCAGTGTGGAGAAACAGAGCTTTCCTATTTTAGTGAGAGACACAGAAGTAGAACTTCCATGGTTTTATGTCAAAAAAGTCAAATTCATTGTACCTATTTTTGTCAGACCGTTGGTTTTCTGCCTCTAAATATTTGTGTATAAAACTGGATCAAAATTTATTTATTTATATATTGTTGCAATAAAAGCCGTCTGACCATTGTAATAAACGGTTAGAAATTGCCTTGGGGTTTAAAGCATACGAGTGTATGTCCTTTGAAGGATTTTTATAGTTACTCTTTTAATACAGGGTATACTTTTCCTTGTGTGTATCTGTAACTAGTTTAATTTCACTGAAATCAGTCTGTGCTCTTGTTGTGTAATTTAAACTGGGGTTGTCAGAATGGGGATATACTGAATTCAGTGTGTTCACTCCAGACAAAAGTATCTCTCTGAAACTCAGTGGAAGCTTTAGGCTTTGATTCAGTTATTCAAAACTTATGCTTACTGAAGCATCTGCATTGTTACTATATGCCAAAAGAACTACTCAGGCAGTTAATGGTTTGCATGCTCATCACTGTATCGCTGGATTAAGCTTTCATACCCTATTATTTTTGTGGGCTCCTTGTGAAAATAAAAGGGAGAGGGAAAAGTGAAATAGGCAAATACTATTTTAAACCCACAACATTTGGCAGACTTTCTTGAGGAGGTATGGTACCTGAAACTCATCTCTTTTACATTATTTTCAGCAGTTGGTATTTGTGTTCCTTTTAACATTGAATTAAGTCAACACGAACTTGTGCCAGTCTGATGATATTTAAGGCACCGTCTTTGCATATATGTTTTTTTAATATTGATTATTTGTTTAATCCTTAAAATATATTTTGGATTCTCAGAATACTCTCATTAAGGCTAGATATGACTAAATATTTGACTAGGTGGGTAGGCAGATTCTGTAACCTGTGCAGATATTTTGAAGAAGAAAAGGATGGCAATACTGTTCAAACTCGCAGCACAGTCAGTAAAAAGTCCAAAAGCAGTGAGGTTGATGTAAACTGTGGAGAAATGTCTGCCAGCATCTAGCAAGCAGGAAATGAAAGTGGAGAAGAAATCAGTCTGTGTTGGAAAGGTCATTCTACTGATGTTGCCTTAGTGATGTAGCGGTAACTTAATGCAATTGGCCAGTGCAGAGAGAGAAGCACAGACAATTTGCAAGTCATGAGAAAGTCAACTGTTTTGCCTGTAGCTGTAGTCATACACTGGAAATTATTCAAACAGAATTTATTTTATTTGAAATGAAGACATAGAATTGGTTCAGCCTAGCAAAAGGGAATAACAGAGCTATTTACAAAGGCTTAGACAATTGGGAAACATCAAATGCCAAATTGTAATGTTTTTGCATTTAATCTTGAAATTCATAAAAGAATAATGTGAAATCTTAATTTACACTTAATGTATGAAAAGCATGTTTTAAATTCTTGGAAAGATATAACTACCTCATGTTTTACTAAAACTCATAAGTTAGTAAAGAAAACACAGTGGAATCATTTAGTAGCATGTCTTAACCCTGGGTAATTTTAAAGACAGTACAAACAAAGGAGCTCAAGAAAGCTTTCAGCAAATTTTATCTGTATCTTAGCATCAGTCAGCTCCCCTCTGAAAGATAATAATACCTCTGAAGGGTAATTTGAAAAATGCTAATAAAATTTATAATTTTTGAAGTGTAAATATGTTCAGGGTCCACGTCTTTAAACAAATGAAATTAAACTAGTGCTATGTTTTAGCTTAGATAAGTGAGCACCTGATCAGTAAATCATCTCCAGCTCAAAGGCTTTTTTTCATATTAAGAGGGAGCAGATTTTAGTATGATAGCAATCATTATTTGATAGGGGCAAAATTTTTACTAAGTTCAGTGCTTAGAACACATATCTTTTTTTTCCAGCGTTAATACAGTGTAGGAATACTATTTATCTTTTTCTTATAAAATCTAAAAGTCAATAAAAATAACACAGATCTTTTGGTTAATAACATTGAGTTTCCAGTGGGAGTACCTAACATTAAAAAAAACCCTTTAAAATATTTATTTAAAGCGATAGAAAAATATTGGGAAATTTCTCTTTCCTTCTGAAATTCTAGTTCATCTGATCAGTGCATAGTGTTGATGGTTTTAGATTCAAATCCATATAGGAATTTGATAGATTTATATTTAAATGAGACTTTTAAGTATTTTTAATAGCAAAAATTACTATTCTTACGATATCTTTAGTATTACTCTTAGGAATCAAAACCAGAAAACATTTCAAACAATAATTAAGAAAGATTTGATTTAGTTTTAAGATCTTCATACATCATAAAATTTATTTCACTAGTTCTTTTTTGTATATAAATGAGCAATGTTAATTATGAATAAAAGTAAAGCATTCAGTAACACTTAATTGTAGAATTAAAATGTAGTAAGAATATATGAAATATTTTTTGCAATCAGGTGGGGTTTTTTTCTTTTTTTTCCCCCAGAAGTACATCACTCTTATATGCATATATAAAGACTGGTAACTCATTAGGTCGCAAATCTTTTTGTAATCCAGTTGTGTCTTAGTCTTCTTCCTTCATTTGTAGCACTTGGCTTCATCTTCTTAAACACAATAGATAAAAGTGAATCCATATTGAACAATTGCTTTTTTCATAGAAAGGGAAAATACTGAAAATTCTGTGGTGCAAGCACTGTTATATTTTGATCTGTCTTTGCAAGTCACTGCAGTTCTGGTTTCTGATTGAGTCTCTTAGCTACTGCAATTGCTGTAAATAAATAATAAAAATAATTTTATTCAAGACATACTACAGGCAAAAGACATGTTTGCAATGCATTATTTACATAAATACATTACATTATGTTTTATCTTGGAATGTGTTCTGTAAAATTTAGTGTCTAAAGTTCCATTCACTTACACTTTATCATATTTATTTATTTCTAAATTTTTTAGCTTAGTGTTTATATGTTCTTTTGAGAGTGCCGTTACAAAATGTATTTTAAACATTGTCAGCTGCTTAATTTCCTGTATCTGTATATTTATTGATAAAGACTGGGACAGGGAGAAGTTACTTGAAGCATGGATGTCTAATCCGGAGAACTGCTGCCAGCGTTCAGGGGTTCAGATGCCAACTCCCCCTCCAAGTGGATACAACGCGTGGGATACGCTCCCTTCTCCACGAACTCCACGCACTACTCGCTCTTCTGTAACTTCCCCTGATGAAAACAGCCCCTCACCAGGAGATATTGAGACAGCTGTGGTAAGTTTATAAATAGATCTGAAACTAACGGGGCGAAAGAGTTTATTTCTAAACATAGAACACCTACTTCAACAGGAGAGCTGCGTTGTCATCTCATTCTGAAAATAAGTTTGTAAAGGTGTAAAGTGTTTCTCTTTCCAAACGTGGTGAACAGAGAAGTTGACACCTGAAACATTCTATATAATAACACAGTCGAGCATCTGGCTAATAAAAAGCATTCTGTTTTTACCTTCGCTGTCACGCACAAAGTAGCATTTTAGCCAGCTACAGTCACATTAGTGCATTTGGCTCATTTAAGCTTCTCTTCTCATCTCATACTTATCAAGATGTTCACTTTCATTGTATCCATTTCCCTGAATGTACTCAATGCTGTGAACCCTGCCTTTTGAAAATTTTTTCTTTAGAAAACAAAATTCTCTTTGTCTGCATTTTGAAATGTCAGCACACTAGTGTACTGTAAGCTTATAATTACTTTTACTATGTGTGGGCTGCTTCAAGCGGTTTACAAGGCTATTGCAAATTTGAAATATGAAAGTGCCTTTCATTAAAATCAGTGTGGTTCTTTTGGAAGACAGAGTTCTCTTTTTAATAATCCGCAGCTGCAGCATTATAAAACTTTTGCTCCATGACCTAAGCATTTTTCTAAAATATTATATGCCATCTTGCAAACGGATCATCCCTAGATCTCATA